TTGTCCGCGGAGGTGTCGCAAACAAGTGCCAAGCAACCCCAGACACGAAAACGCGACGCAGCACCAGGGGACCCAGTCCAAAGACTGGTCGGTGAAACCTTTGGCCGAGAGACACGTGGCCAGAGGTTCAGCTGGTGAGCGGCGTACCGAACCGCGTAAGGCCACAGAAAATGGGGGGCACGGGCGTGAGTCATGGAGGTGCGGGCGATCTCCATGACCAAGCCTAAGCGGCGCTCAGCAACCCCATTCTGCTGTGGGGACTCTGGAAGTGTCCAGGACTGACGGATGCCCTGCTCGCGACAGAATCCAGCGAGATGCCAGAGCGAAACTCACCCCCGCGGTCGGAGTGAAGACAGCTGACATGACGACCACAAGTGTCCGCAGTGGTAAGCAACTACCGGATCAGCGTAGAAGTTACGTCGGACTTCTTCGCCAGGGGGAACACTATGGTGTAGCGGGAGTAGTCGTCAACGACCACGAGAAAGAAACTCTCTCGCTCAGGGCCAGGGCGCGAGGCGGGGCCCCAGACGTCTAAGTGGAGAGTCTCGAAGGGCTCGGTGGCCGGACGAAGGGAGGAGGAGTGAGGGGTGGCGCGCAGCCGACCCTCGACGCAGGGACTGCAGGGTGGCGCAAGCGAAGGCGGGAACGACGGCAAGACACGCGGGAGGCCTAAGGCAAGACGCTGACTAGACATAGCGCGCAGGCGAGAAGTGGACGGGTGCCCCATCCAGTGGTGCCACAAAACAGTGGGGTGGGCAAGCGACCGGTAGGAGCATGACGCAGCAACTGGACTAGACACTGGAACCTGACCAGACACAGCTACCTGGGGAGACGCGACAACTTGGTGAGACGCGGGAACCTGACGGGGGACAGTGACAGGGGTCGGGGGCAGTAGCTGATGCTGCCGCTGCTGCTGCTGCTGCTACCTTCGGGGGCCAGTGTGAAGTTTGTAGACACCAAAGCCCGGCTCAGCGGTAAAGGTGGCGAGAGGCGCGTACGTGTCCCCGTCGACACAAACCGCAGTCTCGCCAGAAGGCTCAATCCACACACCCATGTGCTGACTCACGAGCGGCCTCACGCCCACCAAGTTCCTCAAGAACGAGGGGACGTGGAAGCCGGTCAGAGAACCGGAGGGAACAGCCGGGCACGGAAGCTTAGTAGTGTAGCGAGCAGTGACTGGTCCCGAAGTGGGATCAGCCTGTGCTACAGAGACCGGCGTAGGAAGCGGGGTAAGTGTCGTGCGGTCGCGGAAGAAACGGTGGGAAGCTCCGGAGTCCAGAGTGAAAGACAGCGAAGCGTCCTCCGGAGCAGCTCCTGGACTAGTGTCTACACAAGTACCTACACTAGCAACAGGCACCTCACCAAGACTAGTACCTAAGCTAACAACACTCGAGTAAACAGAGTCAGAAGCACTAGAGTCAACAACAGCATACATAGCATGAGGAGTTCCTAAGAGATCAACCAACTGAGAAGCCGACATGCCCCACAGAGCGGGGCCGTACGTCTGAACAAGGGGAAGCCAGTCAGGGGCAGGGCCGTCAACGCCGTAGGCCAATCGAACCGTGTCAGTAAGCTGAGCAAAGAACTGACCCGGTGGGTGGCTGCGGCCACAAGGCTGGCTGCGGCGAGCACCTGTCAGAACGTGATAGGTGCAGGGAGGGTGGGCGAGACCGCGCTGCAGCTGACGCTGTCCTGACCCCTGCCCCGAAACCTGCTGCTGCCGCTGCTGCTGCTGTGGCTGCTGCGAGGGGAGGGGCTGCAGCTGCTGCTGCTGTCGTCGAGTCAGGTACCACGCCGCTGCTCCACCCCCTGCGGCTGGCAGACCTGTGGGTGGCTAACGAACCTGGGCGTCACCTCCACCAGCTGCAGTAGAGGAGTCACCGGCCGCTGCACGAGGCGCTCCTCCAGCGCCTGCACTCCCGCCGCCGCCGCTCGCCACGTCACCCCCACCGCCTCCGCCGCCTCCGCCCGCACCCTGACCGCCCCTCCTGCCACTCCTACCCCGAGACCACGAAGAATTCGTAACAGCAGCTGCGGTCACGTCAGTAGCGGCAGTGGTGAGGGAGGCAGTAAAGGTGGGCAGCTGAGGGACAGTGCACTCGTGGAACAGTGGAGGGGGCACAACACCAGAGGCAGAGGCTACCGAGCGGAGGTTGCTCTCGACGTCCTTGAGGGCCGACTCAAGGACCTCGATAGTGAGCTCGCTAGGGAGGCTAGTGGCGATGAAATAGATAGTAATCGCCATGGAGGGAGGGAGCAGTGCAAGCTGTGCGTCAGTACAAGCAGCGCGGTAGCTAGAATCGAGCGAGCGCAGATGAGTTATCAAGTCAGCAGTGCGCTCAAACGAGGCGAGATCAGTAAACAGGAACGGAAGGAACAGGCGACCAAGAGAGACAGTGGTGGGAGTAGCGTAGCGGGCCTTGATCGTAGTCAGGAACTCACTAGCCGTGCGAACCTGAGTGAAGTGGGTCTCCTCAGACTCAGGGAGGAGGCTACTGAGGGCAATGCAGGCCGCAGCGTCACGCGATTTCCACGCTGTCATGTCAGCACGCTCGCGTGCATAACGGTCACTGTCTGCAGGTGTGGGGTCAGCTGCTAAGGGTGCAGGGTCAGGTGGCTCAGGTAGGTCACCGGAAGCGTGCGCCCACAGAGTCTCATGTGCCTGAACCTGGCTCTCTAGGAGGCACCGCACACGCAGGAGCCAGACCGAGAACTCGAGCGGCCTACCCTCAGCGTCAAAGCGCAGGACCCTAGGGTTCGCCATAGCGGAAGCGTAGAGGTGGATACTGCTGCTGCCGAAACCCTAAACGCCTAAAGGGCCTGCGTAGGGCGTGACAGACAGTGCGACACGACGGGACGGACGCGACCGGCAGGGACGGGCGCGACAGGCGCAGACGAGCAGGGCGCACGGGGCGCGACGGACGGGCAGGGCGCACGGGGCGCGGCGGACGGGCAGGGCGCACGGGGCGCAACGGATGGGCAGGGCGCAGCGGGGGTGCGACGGACGGGCAGGGCGCACGGGGCGCGTGCGACGGGACGGGACGGGAAGCGCGACGCGGACGGGACAGGACGGGACGGACGGCGCGATGCGGCGGGATAGAAGGGGGGCGACGCGACGGGACAGCAGGGACGACGGGACGGGACGGGACGGGACAGCAGGGGGTGACGCGACGGGACAGCAGGGGCGACGGGATGGGACGGGACAGCAGGGGCGACGCGACGGCAGGGGCGACAGGACGGGACAGCAGGGGCGACGGGACGGGACGGGACAGCAGGGGCGACGCGACGGCAGGGGCGACGGGACGGGACAGCAGGGGCGACGGGACGGGACGGGACAGCAGGGGCGACGCGGCGGCAGGGACGACGGGACGGGACAGCAGGGGCGACGGGACGGGACAGCAGGGGCGACGGGACAGCAGGGGCGATGGGACGAGACGGGACAGCAGGGACGACGCGACGCAGGCGCAGCGGGCGCTAGGGCACGAGAGAGACGAGCGCGAGAGGCGCTAAGGGACAGTACGGGCGTAACGGGCACTAGGATACGAGACAGGCTTGGGCGCTACAGACGTGAACGAGAGGAACGGGATCCTACAGGATCCTAACCTAGCTGATACCATGTCAAGAATAAGGTTTGACTAAGGTTGGTTGGGGTACATAAACCTAACCCTAACGGTTGTACCCCCTATAACACACATCACTAAGACTACAACATTTGACACGTGCTCCACAGGTCTCTCTCGGCTAGAGGAAATCCCAACCCAACCCAAGGCATTCTGGTACTTCCCGCCAAAACAGACTTCGTCGGTTTCAAGTGTTCGTAGCCTCGCCGTCAGCGCTGGCCTGTACCAACCAGCTTTTCAGTCTTCTGCTGCTTTGCCCTCCTTCCTTCCATATTGTGCTCATCGCAAGCTTGATTAGCATTCTTCGGGCGCGCCTTCACTCGGCGTCGTTTTTTCGCGTAGCCTTGTGTTAGTAATTCGTCCAGGCACTATTTAACCTAGTTATATCCAGGGTTTCGCAATGCCGTCACGAAGTCGTCAGGTTCTGAAGGTACTGAGATTGCTCGTAGAGCGATGAAGCCGTGATACAACCTAGTCGTAGTTATTGGTCGTGCTAGGCGCTGCTAACCATTGTATGTTCATAACATAGGCGTGCTATTCAAGGTGCGCATTTTCCAGGCGGTTTCACCTAACTGTCTCACTCATCGGAGTTTAGACGCTCATACCACGACAGCTCTCTATCCCTTTTTCTTTTCCTACCGCGCGTAACCCACAAGAGCTCCCGGGTCTGCAGTGGTTACATTGTGGTAACCGCCGTCTCCTGAAGACGTTAGGGTAACATTTACTCTCGGCCCGTCAATGGACCTTTTAGCGAGGATAGGGCTATTTTGACTAAGTACGCGTTACAAGTTCGCAATCCGATCCCTCATACGCGCTATAGTACGCCGCAGTTTTCGACATGGCGACAGACCAGGGACTACCGAGTCCCGGCATTCGGCTATCAGACCCTGCCGCTCTTTTAACGCATATCGAGGTCCCCAACCAGGTGATGATAATAAAACTCGCGGATTTCTCACTTTATTTATAAGGAATCTCATACAAAAACGTAACACGGGGAACTCGAAAACGCTCAGACGTCACACGGATGGGAGATGCTACCGTTCTTTTATCGCGTATCGAGGTCTCTGACCAGGTACCATGTCGAGAGTCGTACATTCCCTCGATCTTTGGTTGAAACGGCACTGAAGAGCCATACGTGTTGCCCTCGTGTCACCGTCGTTGATGCGAATGTCTATCTTATCAATGTCCTTCCAGCACACTCAAAGCCCATTTTTCTCTTGAATGCCATTCATGCCGTTTTCTGTATTATTTTCCCCATGTTTTGGCCGGCCGTTTCTTACCTCTGTCCGTCAGTTCTTCCTTTCCCGGTTTTCCCGGCCGTCATCTTTCTCCCCTTCACCAATACGCCCCGTACGGTCCCTCCAGGTCAGGGATGTCATAATGAACGGTCCGGATCGCAACAGCGACGCGTACTACACGTATTTGGACGCCGTGGATCGACTGAACGGTGCAGTGCGGTTCATTGAGGAGGAGCTGCGCAATGGGCGGTACCTGATCGCGAGGGCCATGGAGAACGTGAAGGCGGACTTCCACGGGCTGCTGGCGGACAGCAGGTGTGCAGAGGCGTGGGGGGTGCGGATGAGGGGTGAGGAACGGTGGTCAGCGGTGGGGGGTGGTGAGTATTGGCCTGCACAGACGGGCGGTACCTGATCGTGAGGGCCATGGGGAATGTCAAAGCGGACTTCCACGGGCTGCTCGCGGATAGCAGGTGGGGGAGGGGGTTGGGGGGAGGAGGGTGGGGGATGGGGGGGCGGGGTGGGAGGGGGAAATGTCAAGGCGGACTTCCACGGGCTGCTCGCGGATAGCAGGTGTGCGGAGTGGTTGGGGGTGCGGATGAGGGGTGAGGAACGGTGGTCAGCGGTGGAGGGTGGTTGGTATGGGGACCTTCACAGACGGGCGGTACCTGATCGTGAGGGCCATGGGGAATGTCAAGGTGGGCTTCCACGGGCTGCTCGCGGATAGCAGGTATGGTGTGTGGGGTTCGGGTGTGGCATAGGGCAGGTGGGGAAAGGCGGACTGGAGGGGTGGGGGGTGCGGGGCGAATAATGGCGGACAGCAGGGGGGGGAGACGGACAGCAGAAGGGGGAGGCGGACAGCAGGGGGGGAAGTGAACAGCAGGTGGGGGAGGCGGACAGCAGGGGGCGAAGTGAACAGCAGGTGGGGGAGGCGGACAGCAGGGGGGGAAAGGGGACAGCAGGTGGGGGAAAGGGGACAGCAGATGGGGGCGGGAAACAGCAGGTGTGGGGAGGGGATCAGCAGGTGGGGGGAGGGGAACAGCAGGTGGGGGGAGGGGAACAGCAGGTTAGGGCTAGATTTGTGCGCTTGGCACCTTTCAGAGCTTCCCATAGATGCTGGCATATAGGACGGGAGGCTACGTATCAAGGTGACTGTTGAGTCGATTCAAAAGTCACCTAGGTTAGGGCCAGCTTTCCATCGTTCACAGTTTGAGGACCTTCTGATCGGTGCTGGCATATAGGTCGGGAGGCTGCACATCCCATGTGCCTCTGCATCTCTTTGCCTCCCTTGCCGCCAATCCCCCACCAATCCCTTGACTCTTGACGCGTTTAACCCCCCGCCTATCCCATCACACCCGTCTGGTTTTGAGACGTCTCAAGACTCTTGACGCGTTTAACCCCCCCGCCCCCCCTCTCCCATCACACCCGTCTGGGCCTGCCTCGATGCGGACTGGAACGAGCTGAGCTGGGGAAAGCGATGCTGTCAGCGCAGGTTTCCCACCCACCCCCTCTACCACCCTCTGACACCATCGCCTGGGCTGTGCAGAGGGGGGGATGTCCCAATCCCTCCACCTCCACCTCACTCTGACACCATCGCCGAGGGGGGGTGTCTCAATCCCACCCACCCACCCAACTCACCCACCCAACTCCCCTCCTTTCTCCCTCAATCCCACGCCCGCCATACCCGTCTGGGCCGCACGTCCCCAGCCTCTTTCCAGACCTGGACGAGACGAGCCTGGGGAAGGCGATGCTGTCAGTGTCAACAGTGGTGCCTCATGAGCCTCTGCTGCCTGGTTATGTTCTATCTGCCGCTGCCACTTCCTCTCTGATCCTCTAACCCAACCCACCCACTCCCCTCACCCCCCCTCCCCCCCTCCCTCCCTTTCCCCCAGCCTCTTTCCGGACCTGGACGAGCTTCGGGAGGCGATGCTGTCAGAGGAGTCGCCGGACCAGATCACGCCCCCTGAGATGATCGCCGAGGCTGCGCTGCCGAAGCTGCACGCCATGGCTCGGCGGCTGGTGGAGAACAATTGTGCGACCGACTGCACTCGTGCTTACAAGTAGGCTCCTGGGTGTGTGTGCTGGGGGGGATGGAAGGTGGGGAATGGTGGAGAAGAGGGTGGGGTAAGCAGGAGATGCACATGGGAGAAGGATTGGATGTGCGGTGCGACAGACTGCACTCGTGCTTACAAGTAGGCTCCTGGGTGTGTGTGCTGGAGGGGAATCGGACGGGGGGTGGGGGTTGTGGGAAGGGTGGAAAGGGTGGGGTGGCGGAGGTAGCAGGTGGGTGTTGGCAGGGGAGGGGAGGGAAACGAAGGATCAGCACTCCATGGCTCGGCGGCTGGTGGAGAACGGATGTGTGACCGACTGCACCCGTGCTTACAAGTAGGTTCTTTGTGTGTGTGTTGGGACGCAGGAGAGGGGGGAGGGGAGAGAGGAGAGCGAGAGGAGGGGGAGGGGAGAGAGGAGAGCGAGAGGAGGGGGAGGGGAGAGAGGAGAGCGAGAGGAGGGGGAGGGGAGAGAGGAGAGCGAGAGGAGGGGGAGGGGAGAGAGGAGAGCGAGAGGAAGGGGAGGGGAGAGAGGAGAGCGAGAGGAGGGGGAGGGGAGAGAGGAGAGCGAGAGGAGGGGGAGGGGAGAGAGGAGAGCGAGAGGAGGGGTAGGGGAGAGAGGAGAGCGAGAGGAGGGGGAGGGGAGAGAGGAGAGCGAGAGGAGGGGGAGGGGAGAGAGGAGAGCGAGAGGAGGGGGAGGGGAGAGAGGAGAGCGAGAGGAGGGGGAGGGGAAGGTAAGAGGGGGAGTTGTCATGGTGCAAGGTCGACTTTGGCCATAAATAGGTTAATCAAATCTCTCGGGGTTAGAGGTAAGCAGAATCGAGAGCTATAGAAGTGGTTGTGTGGGTGGTAATGGCTGGCTTCCTAATGGCGGACATTGTCCAAGGCGGGGATCCTCATCACAGCACCCCATGCCCCCCCTCGCTTCTTGAGTCGACTCAATAATTGTAGGCCTGGTGGTGGTTGGCTTCCTAATGGCGGACATTGTCCAAGGGGGGAGTCCACAGCACAGCACCCCAATGGTCCCCCATGCCCTCCCCCTTGGTTCCCATGACCTGCGAACCAACAGGGAGAAACGGGAGGCCGCACTAAGGAGGAACTTGCAGAGGCTGGGCGTGCAGACAATGACCAAGTCGGAGATCCACAGCACCCCGTCCCATGCACCTCCCAATGCTTTCCCCTGGGTTCCTGTGCCCTTAACCAAACAGGGAGAAGCAGGAGGCGGCACTGTGGAGGAACTTGCAGAGGCTGGGCGTGCAGACAATGACCAAGTCGGAGATTCACATCATCCCTTGGGCTCCCTCTCTTTCTGTCCTTTGGTGCCTTTGACCCTGCAAACAAACAGGGAGAAGCGGGAGGCCGCACTAAGGAGGAATTTCCAGCGGCTGGGCGTGCAGACGATGACCAAGGCAGAGATCCACAGCACGCCCTGGCCCCAGCTGGAGGAGCGGATGAGACGGTGGAGCGAGCACATGCACATCGGGGTGAGTGAGGCTGGTGCTATAAAAGGAGCAGAGGAGCAGAGGAGGAGAGGAGCGGATGAGACAGTTGAGTGAGCACAGGCGCACTGGGGTGAGAGAGCGAGAGAGGGAGATCCACAGCACACTCTGACAGCAACAATGCTGTAACTGCCCTCTCCCTTCTCTCAATTTCCAGGCCCCTCCCCTTTCTCCCCTCTCTTTTCCCTCCACCCCCTCCCCCTTCCGCCCCCCCCTTCCCCCACACGCGCCAGATGATTCTGGTGGCGGGGGAGAGGGAGGCGTGTGACGAGGTGTTTGACGGGCTGGACCCGTGCGGAGAGCAGTGCTTTGTGGACCTCTCGCGCTCCTCCATGCTGCTGCTCGCCGGCTTTGGCGAGGCCGTGAGCGAGATCAAGAAGACGCCCGAACGCCTCTTCTCCTTCCTCGACATGTACGAGACGACTCTCGACCTCAAGTGCACGGTATGTGCTGACTCAAGTCAACGCCAGTCAATGTTGCTTCTGCTCCTCCATGCTGCTGCTCGCTGGCTTTGGCAAGGCTGTCAGCGAGATCAAGTAGATGCCCGAACGCCTCTTTTCTTTCCTCGACATGTACAAGACGACGCTCGACCTCAAGTGTACGGTACGTGCTGAGTGATGAGTAAATACTCTACAACTTTTAGCAGTAATAATTGTAGTATCATCTGTCTGTGAAGTGTTTCATCGAATCGAAATTTAATAAAAAAAACAAGGAAGAAACAAATCCTTTGAGATGAACGAAATATCGAGTCGTAGTCTAAATATCATTTTTTTGGAAGCAGGAACGAAAACCCCCCTCTTTGCCCCTTTTTCCTACTCTCTGCCGCCTCTCCCCCTTCCGCCACCACTTTCCCCTCTTTGCCCCCATTCCCGTTCACCACTGGCACTTGCAGGTGGACGAGCTATTCAAGGGGCCCGAGGGCGAGATGATGCGGAGGGAGTATCAGCACCTGTTCACGACCCTCGGGCAGCCAGCGAGGGCGATGTTTGAGAAGTTTGAAGAGGCGGTGAAGGCACCTATGCTCCCTCCATGCTCATCCCTGCCCCTCTACCCCTCTCTCTGCTACCTCGCTTCTCCCTTCCCTGCCCATCTGTCTCCCACCCACTAACGTCCACACTCGCAGGTGGATGAGCTATTCAAGGGGCCTGAGGGGGAGATGATGAGAAGGGAGTACCAGCACCTGCTTAAGACCCTCGGGCAGGCCGCCAGAGCGACGTTTGAAAAGTTTGAAGAGGCGGTGAAGGCACCGCCGACGCCAGAGGAGGGTGGGCCGGGAGGAGGAGGGGGGTATCCCGCTCTTGCCAGCCCTACTGCCAGCGAGAGTGGGAGAGGCGGAGGGTTCGGGCGGAGTGAGCTGCGCGGAGGGGGGCTGCTGGGCCGGCTGAAGAAGTGAGTGGGGAGTGGGTGGGGCCCGTGGGGGCGGGAGGGAGGGGGGCAGGGGTTTTGGTACCCAGCTCTTGCCAGCCTCACTGTTAGCGAGAGTGGGAGGGGAGGAGGGTTCGGACGGAGTGAGCTGCGTGGAGGGGTGGGTTGGGGGAAAGGGTGGTTTGAGTTGCTTTGGGCACTGCAGGGACTGCGTAGGGTCTCAGGGAGCAAGGTGGCATTGGTGACTCTCTTTTTCCCTTCCTCCCTCGTCCATTCTCCCTCCTCCTCGCCCTTCTTCTCATTCTTCCGTTCCCCTCCTCTTCCTCCCTCGCCCTTCCCCTCCACCTCCACCCTGCCAGGATGATGCACGCACAAGGGCGACAACTCAGCGAGAGAGGTGGCATCAATGAATCTCTCACCTTCCTCGCTCGTCCACTCTCCCTCCTCCTCGCCCTTCACCTCTTTCTTCCATGCCCCACCTTTTCATCCCGCACCCTTTTCCCTCCAATTCTGCCAGGATGACACACAAGGGCGATGACTCAGCAAGTGAGGTGGCGTCATGTGAATGACGCTCACCACACTACTGACACTCACTGCCACGCCCACCCACTCCCCTCCTCCGTCCCCCCCACCCCACACACACTTCTTCTGACAGGATGTTGCACAAGGGTGATGACTCAGTAAGTGAGGTGGTGTCATGTGAATGACGTGAATGATGCCCACCACACTACTGACACTCACTGCCACGCCCGCCCGCCCCGCCCCCACATCTTCTGACAGGATGATGCACAAGGGCGATGACTCAGCGAGTGAGGTGGCGTCGATGACGTCCACGTCAGCAGCTGCCGCCCACTCCACAGGGGACATCCACCCAATCACGAGCTACGTGGTCAACTACCTGCTGCTGCTCTGCAACAGGTGGGGATGGGTCCATTGAGGCAGAGTGGGGTGGGGATGGGTGGAGAGAGGTGGAGTGGGGTGGGGATGAGTGCATAGAGGTGGAGTGGGGTGGGGTGGTGGTACTAAGTGGTTCAATTCACTCCACAGGGGACATCCACCCAATCACGAGCTACGTCGTCAGTTACATGCTTTTGCTCTGCAACAGTTTTGTGTGGGTGGGTTCCGCTTCTCCCTCTTCCTCTCCCTGTCCCTCTCGCTCTCCCACTCTCACACCACACCCCTCTCGCTCTCCCACTCTCACACCACACCCCTCTCGCTCTCCTCTCCCACTCTCATGCTCCGCGCGCCGCACTCTTAACCCACTGTTTTTGTTTTCTATTTAACCCCCTTCACTCCCCTCACCCCCACAACAAGCTGCCCTACTTTCAAAGACTCGAGTGCGCCGTTGATGACATGGTCAGCAACCCCTCCCCTCTCTCCCTCTCTCCCATCCTCCCACTCTCCACATGTCTGACACCCCCCCCCCCCCACAACCGCCACAGCGAGTTGCCCTATTTCCAAATACTCGAGTGTGTGTTTGAGGATATGGTCAGCAACGCCAGCGACTCAGCAGCCAGTATCGTGACGCCACGTGTGCAGGGCCGGCTGGCCTTCGCCGCCGCCCGCATCGTGGATGCACTAAAGACGAACCTCGGGCAGCGGGCGGTGGTGCTACGAGACGAAACGCTGGCGGAGCTTTTCATGATGAACAACCTGGCCTACGTTCTCACTAAGATTGATGCGTGAGTGTGTGGGTGTGAGAGAGTGTGTGTGAGTCGAGTGTTAGTGTGTATGTGTGTGTGCGAGTGCTGCTAGACATGAGCATGAGTCGAGACGAGACACTGGCAGAGCTCTTCACGTTGAATGAACAACCTGGCATACGTGCTCACTGAGATTGATGCGTGAGTGTGTGTGTGTGTGTGCGCGCGCGCGCGGGTGTGCGTGTGTGCGTGAGAGCTTGTCTGTGTGTGTGCGTGAGAGCTTGTCTGCGTGTGTGCGTGAGAGCTTGTCTGCGTATGTGCGTGAGAGCTTGTCTGCGTGTGTGCGTGAGAGCTTGTCTGTGTGCGCGTGTGCTGTTATTTTGCCCCTTCTACCCGTTCTTACCAATTGTTAAATGCACTGACTACCTTCCCCAACTGCTTTGCCCTTGCTGTCAATCCTCCAGGTCTGATGCCGGGCGGCTGCTTGGTACGGCATGGATCGGCACATATGGAGCGATGGTGGACAATCACAGGGACAAATTCATCATGCACACACTCGCTAAGGTACGCACCAATCAGAATAGGGTCTCTCGAATCTGCACTTGTTTTATGAGATGACCCCCTACTCTCCTTTGCTCAATGTTTCCGATCCTTGTAGCTCACCTGTTCCCTCTGCCCCTGCTTCTGTTCTCCCTCCTTCTCCTCCTCCCCCCACCCTCCCGCGCTCTTTCTCCCTCCATCCCACTTCAACATGGTACCTTCCCTTCAATTGCCCTCTCGAACCTTTCTCTCTCCTCCCTTCACTGTTCCCTGTGTTACCTCCTTTCCCCTCTCCTGCTCTCGCTCCTGTTACCCTTCCTTCCCGTTCCTCCATCCCCTCCCCTCCCCTCCGCTTTCCCTCTTCGTCTCCTCACTTTGACGTGGTCTTCCTTCACTGCTCCCTTGTGTCTGCTCATTCTCCTGCACCGCCATTCCCTCTCCTCCCCTCCGCTCTCCCCCCTTGTCTCTTCAGTTCGATGTGGCACTCCTCTCAAATGAGAGTCTCGACTCTTCTGTCTCGGCCCTTCACTGCTCCATGTTCCATCTGACCCTGTCTTGCTCTACCTCCCCTTCCCCCTCCCCCTCCCCCTCCCCTCCATTTCCCCTCCGCTCCACTCTCCTCCCATCGCAGTTCGATGTGGTGTTCTCCTCAGATGACCGTCTGGACTCCGCCTCCCCGCCCTTCACTGCCCCTTGTTCCATCTTCCCCCTCTCCTGCTCCCCCGATGGCCTCCCCCTCCCTCCCTCTCTCCCCTGCTCCCTCCCGCCATCGCAGTTCGATGTGGTGTTCTCCTCAGATGACCGTCTGGACTCCGCCTCCCTCGTCAAGCGGTGAGTGTTGTTGCTCAAGAGTCGCATGCATGACGCTCTTCTTATTTGCACAGCTTTGAGATGTCTCAAGGCTCACATGACCGTCTGGATCCCGCCTCCCTCGTTAAGCGGTGAGTGCTGTTGTTCAAGAGTCGCATGCATGACGCTCTTCTTATTTGCACAGCTTTGAGATGTCTCAAGGCTCACATGACCGTCTGGATCCCGCCTCCCTCATTAAGCGGTGAGTGCTGTTGTTCAAGAGTCGCATGCATGACGCTCTTCTTATTTGCACAGCTTTGAGATGTCTCAAGGCTCACATGACCGTCTGGATCCCGCCTCCCTCGTTAAGCGGTGAGTGCTGTTGTTCAAGAGTCGCATGCATGACGCTCTTCTTATTTGCACAGCTTTGAGATGTCTCAAGGCTCACATGACCGTCTGGATCCCGCCTCCCTCGTTAAGCGGTGAGTGTTGTTGCTCAAGAGTCGCATGCATGACGCTCTTCTTATTTGCACAGCTTTGAGATGTCTCAAGGCTCACATGACCGTCTGGATCCCGCCTCCCTCGTTAAGCGGTGAGTGCTGTTGTTCAAGAGTCGCATGCATGACGCTCTTCTTATTTGCACAGCTTTGAGATGTCTCAAGGCTCACATGACCGTCTGGATTCCGCCTCCCTCATTAAGCGGTGAGTGCTGTTGTTCAAGAGTCGCATGCATGACGCTCTTCTTATTTGCACAGCTTTGAGACTTCTAAAAACTCACATGACCGTCTGGACCCTCGTCAAGCGGTGAGTGCTCGTGTTTAAGAGTTGCGTGCTTGACATCATTCTGATGAGATCAGTCCGTAGGCGTGTTCAAGAGGTTCCTGTTTGACCTGTTGTATGATGCCTTGATGCTCTTCTCAAATGTACCTTCCTTTTGGCGTGCGCCTGTCATGCAGATGGCGTGCACTTGGTGTGCACATGAGATACACATGGGATGCACTTGGTGTGCACATTGGATGCATATGGGATGCACATGGGATGAACATGGGATGGGATGCACATGGCATGGCATGCATGCACGGGACATGCCTTTAGGCACCTCAGAATTATACTCCTCGTCTCATGCTCGCATCTCCTCCTGCCAGCCTCAAGACGTTCAACATCATTCTCGAGCAAATGAGGCAGTGCCACATGGCATGGACCACCCTCAACCATGCCTTGCCCTGCCTTATCCCTCTGCACCCATCCCCACTGCTCTCTCCTTCCCTGCCAGCCTCAAGACGTTCAACATAGTTCTCGAGCAAATGAGGCAGCGCCACATGGCATGGACCATCACCAATCACGTCTTGCCCTTCCTTATCCCTCTGCACCCATCTCCACCGCTGTCTCCCTCCCTGCCAGCCTCAAGACATTCAACATCATCCTGGAGCAAATGAGGCAGCGCCACATGGCATGGACCATCACCAATCGCGAACTGCGCGCACACGTCAAGGCCAAGACCCTCTCAGGCCTGCTGGACAAATACCGCGAGTTCATCATCCGACACGGGTGGGTGGACTGTGAGGGTGGGTGGGTGGGTTGTCAGGGTGTGGGTTTCTGCTGTTCTTGTACCGCTGTGAGTATCTACTCTTCTGGCATCATATGGCACGTCAAGGCCAAGACCCTCTCAGGCCTGCTTGACAAATACCGCGAGTTTGTTATCCGACACGGGTGAGCAAGGGGTTGGTTGGCATGTGAGCCTTGGGGTTGTCATTTTCCGTACATTGCGATGGGTCTCTTCGCTAGTCTTGTGTCATGCATGGCATGTCAAGGCCAAGACTCTCTTGGGTCTGCTTGTCAAGTCCGGCATTGGTGGGTGGGCTGTGAGGGTGGGTGGGTTGTCAGCGCAGGTGGGCTGTCCTGTCAGGGTGAGGAGTGTCAGTGTCGGGGTTATGAGGGTGGGCATGTCAAGGCCAAGGAACTCTCTGCCTCGCTTGACAAATACCCCATGGTCATCGTGCAGGTGAGGGAGGGGGTTTTCGACAAGATCTCTTGCTCCAAATACCCCGTGATCATCTCAGTGCTGCTCTGCTCCTGGATGTGCGAGTGCTGGCATGTGAGGAGATGGGTTGGTTCCAAGCTATGCTTCCCTCCGCTCTCCCCTCCCACTCCCACCCCCCCTCACTCCTTACCTACTCCAGCAACATTCTATGCAACCAGCGCTCACTGGACGTGCGAGTGCTGGCGTGTGAGGAGGTGGGGATACTCACACCAGACCATGTCGTCCCTTTCCATCCTCTCTCATCCCCTGCTCATTCCTTCCCTCTCAGCAACATATTGTGCAACCAGTGGTCGCTGGACGTGTGAGAGCTGGCATGTGAGGGGTGGGCCTGTTCCACGTTTTCCTTCTTGCCCACCTCCCCTCCCTCTCCCTCCTCCCCTTCCTCCCTATTCTCAGCAACATTCTACGCAACCAGCGCTCGCTGGACGTGCGGGTGCTGGCGTGTGAGGAGGTGGAGACGATGCTTGCAGATTCCTTCAGCAGCGGGCCTGTGGGAAAACACAAGTGAGGGCTATCAGTGTGATCGGCGGGGTTGGCGAGGAGATTTGGGTTAGTGGGGTGCTGGCGTGTGAGGAGGATACGATGCTCGCAGATTCCTTCAGCAGCAGGCCCGTGGGGTTTAGGGTTTAGGGAAACACAAGTGAGGGCAGCTCTGTGGGAAACCGCACGTGGGGTTGGTGCGTGGAATGAGCGGAAAGGAGGAGTGGTGGCGAGGTGGTGCAGTGGAGGAGATGGGGGTTAGCGAGCACCTGTGCTGCTGTTGTGTGAGGTGGTGGGGCGATGCTGGCAGGTTCGTTTAGTAGCGGGCCCATGGGGACACAAAAGTGAGATCAGGGTTGCATTATGTGGGGGGGGGGGGGGGGGGGGGGGGGGGGCTAAAGATGATAGGGGAAGCATGATGAAGCGTGAGTGACAGCCATGTGGGCATGTGGGGGGTAGAGAGGAGGGGGAGGGAGCAGAGAGACATGTGGAGATGTCATGTGGACGAGGTGGGATGGCACGCCATGATGGCGAGATTCGAATCACTGGGACACCGACGTGCCAAGAGCGTGCCAACGAGTCAATTCAAGGGCACAGTACCATACAAGAGGCCTGGTGGTCAGGAGTGCAGACGCCCTAAAGTGCTTGGCAGGATTGGTGAAAAGCTTTTGTGAGAATTCTGGGTATAACTTAAATACGGTAGTTCCTGAGGTGCCTGCGTGTTTGCATGTTAAGTTTGGTTGTGGGAGGCTTGTGTGGGTTATGCTCGCCCACTTATCACAATGCCGGTAGCAAATGATCAGCTAGGTGTAGAATGGTATGGATGGAATTGGGTCGCTGCAAAGATAGGTTGACAGCACATCGGCAACTTAATGGTTACTGAATAGTTACTGACTGCGCGTTTCCATCCCAATCGCATCCATGCTGTGCCCATATATGTGACATTGTTGAACATCATGCAGCATACCGGTGTGTAGATTACTGGTTGTGGATAATCGGCAAACCTGTGAACAGCCTCTGGTGTTCAAACTTGGGAATGCAATATTTTTCTGGAGAGGGGGAGGGGGGGGAGCAGGGCTGACTATTCAAAAAAATCCAGTCTGATGTTCTGGGGGCTCTGAAATTTTTTAGTCTGAGGCATATTTCCCAGAGAATGGCTACTCTGATTTTTCAGGTTCCGCAAAAACACAAGTCTGAAGTACTCAGAACACACTACAACCACTGCAGTACAGTACTGCCACGAATGTAGCACGTGGGGCGCAGCGCTAACCGACTTTGCTGCGCCAGCACAGAGTTCCCCTCGCTGACACCGGGTAGCTGCAGTGATGGTCCCTCGTGAGTGAAAGAGCGAGCCAAGTTGGCAGATTTCTAAAGGAAAATGGTGGCAAAAGTAGCCAAGGACAGATTCTGCGCGTGACAGCGCCATGAAGTGTGTTCGTACACTGGCAACATATGACGTACGGTAGCGGAATGTACGTAGAAATTACAGATCCACATTTCAGGATCCGTACTCCCTGTAGTATGAAGACCCATTATCGGTTAAGTCAGTAGTCTGAAAATCTCAGGATCCAAAACCAGGTAAGTCTGAGGTACTCATGTTTGAAAATCTTACAAGTCTGAAAAATCAGGATCCGTAGGAAAATACCCTGAGATTTCAGACAATCAGACTATTTTAGTCTGATAAAGTCAGCCCTGGGGGGGAGAGAGGACAGAATACGCTATAACATGCATCATATCCACAGTTGTATGTTGGAATGCTATCTAGTATACTTAATTGTAATTCCGATATCGAACTGTCATCCACATTCACCTTCGAGCCCACCTCGCGAAGCCACGTCAACATTTTGGCACTCGGGCCTACTCCAGCAAAGCTGGGAACTGGGCCCGCTGCTCCCTTGATCACCTTGCACGTGGTCCCAGTTTCCAGCTGCGCAGCGGTGGCAATGCGTCAGCATAACCTCACCCCACCACGCCACATCCCTGCATCGGGCCGCGAATTCCGCGTCGCATGACAATTTCGTATCACAGCCTCCAGTTTCCAGGTCGACAGATGTGCTTGGCCATCATGCGGCGCTAATTCGCTAAACATTTTCGCAAACAGCGCGATTGGTGGTTCTGCAGGCCGGTTGGTTCCCTCCAGGTCGGCGAATTAGCGGCGCCTGGCGCACTGCTGGTTCAGATTTGTTCGCAAATTCCCACATGGCAGTAGCGCCAGCCGCCGCCACAAGAAATGGCATGTCAGCGGATGGCTTGTCTCGGTTGGCGGCTCTCCCTCATCCTCGTCCCTCTCCCAGTCTCGCTCTCGATTCTCGCTGCTGCTTTTTCATTTGCTCATTCTACTCGTGGTCCGATTCTGATCACATGTCTTGTTGGGTTTACCTGTCAGCTTCAGCTGATCACAGAGCAAAATCGCTTTCACGATTTCAGTAGGCCAGACCATCTGATCCTTTTTCTTCCTCTCAACCTAGATAGTGCACGCACCTTCCGCAAGGCTCGATTCGTCTCTTCAATCGAGCCAATTACGCATCGTTTGGTAGCCTTCGACCATTCTGGTCCAAGTGACTCCTCATTTTTCTACTACCGTCGACACACGTAGTAGCCGCCGCGAAGAGTGAACATCTGTAGCTGGAAGGAGCCTGCTTCTCGTACCTCGAACGAAACCGAACGGACGGCCTTTCGAAACGGAAACGGGACGAAGTCAAAACGTGGGATCGAATCTTTCCGGGATTCCGAAAGCGAATCGCGCAATGGATTACAAGTTACACGTCACGTCGATCCGGCAGTGAATCCGCGTACGCTGCGACGGCACTGAACGCCGCAGCGCTTGCAAGCGAGTGAAAAAACTTAGAGAACCGCCTCTGTACTTACACTTCGTGGCCGTATTTAATTCCTCGTAAGCTCGCATTCTGCCTAAACCGAAGCGTTGAGCCATCAGTCAAGAGGGGCAGCAACATACATTATCGCTAACCACTGGTGAGACATTTAGGTTTTCTTACGACACCGATCATCGAGATTATCCTCGTTATAGCCATGGCTGTTCGGATCAACGTTTCCTCAGTCGCGCACATGCGCGGAACACTCCCCGCAGCACTCCCCGCGCCCGTCGCCGCCTGTCGTTCCACGCCTCCCGCGGCTCAAGGTTCCGCCTGTGTTTCCGCGCTCGGTAGCCCCCTCCGGATGCCCGGAATTGACGCTTGCTCATTCTACGCTACCTTCTCCAGTCGGCTAACCGTTACAGCCTCGCCGGCCGCCGTCAGTTTCGTCGTCGTCTCAAATCTGGATCGCGACATCGCCGGCAGTTCCGGCGCAAGTCCCGCGGGAAATTCTGGTAAAAGCTGGCGGAAGGACGGGGGGCACCGCGCGAACACTCTCCGCGCGCAAGCCGCCATCCTTGCGCCGCCGCCACCTGTCGCGGAAGAGCCGGACGCAATGACGGACACGGGCAGAGGCGGGGGAGGCTGCGGATCATTTCGGGGCGGAAACGGCGACGACGGCGGAAACAACGGGGACGGGCGGTCTGGGGGAAGCGGAGGCGGCGGAGGCGGCGGGGGGGATGCTGGCGGAGACGAGAGCGGGAGAGGGGGGGATTTCGGCGCGCTCTTAGGATGGCCGCGCGTCGAGGCGGTTTTGCTGCGGAAGGGCGTAACGCTTCCAGAAGATATGCTGCTACACGCACGGGAGCATGGTATATCGGAAGTGATTCTACAGAGGTTCATGGACCTGCAGAACTCGTCTCTGGGCCCCGCTATAAGCAACTGCGCGGCGCTTCGCAACCGGCTGCTGATGGATCCGTCGTTCCTGTTCAAGGTTTTCACGGAGGTGAGTAAATCGATCGAGTTGGAGTCGCGTGGTTAACGGAGGTGCCTGATGGAGTCCGTTTGCGAACTCGCTCTCGTCCTTCGCTGTTCCACTCGAGTTACTACTACATCCTACTGACGCTTTCGCAAATGTTTCGTTTTCCTCAGATCGCCATCGACTGCGCGTGCGCGACGTTCGCAGAGGTGCAAAAGCGCGGCGACGATTTCTGGAAGGAGTTCGACCTCTACCTCTCGGATATGCTCGTCGGAATCATTATGGGGGGCGCCGTCGTGGGATCGCTCGCGCCAGCCGCCAGATTCGCCACGTCAGCAGCCGGTGGACGGTTGCCGCGCATCTTGCCGCGAGGGGTTTCTGCTGCGCTCTCGGCGCTCCCAAGCAGGTCGGTACAGTGAATCGTTTAAATAATAAAAACCCTATTCCATTGGAGCCGTGATCCACTGTGTGCTCTTGCCGTGACTCTTATTTTCCCCTGTTAACGATTTCTGGGGCATTTCAAAAACGGTCTCTTGTCACGTATGGCTGATTCTTACTGTCCCGTTGCTCCTGTGTCCCCACTCCTGCCCCCCTCTTTTTGATAACAGTGTGTTTGAGGCATCCCTTCCGGGTCAAAAGTTTTCGGCTGCCCAACGAACTGTCACTCTCTTCGTCAAGGTGATAAATCTGCTCGCGTATCCCAACCCTTCTTCACCCAACCCAAAATTTTCTCGCCCAAAACCCCTCCATTATCTCCATCGTGCATCAATTCCCTCGCTGCCCTGTTTGTGAAATAAAACCGATTTCATGTGACAGTGCAGGGACACGTTGACATAGCCATCAAGCTTACCACCGAAGTTTCTTCTTTCCACAACACCTCCAATCGTCCCGAGATTGCTTTTCGAAAGCTGTCCTCTCCTCATCCACCTCCATCCCCTTCCCTGCTTCCTCCCTCTCTTCACAATGCCAGGGCGTTGAGTATGGAGGGTTTGGCTTCTCATCGGGCCTTCTGGGTCAGGGGATCGCTAATGGCGTGATGAATCTGAAGAGGTACGTGCTGTAGTTTCGCTTTTCAAGAGTAGCCTTGTCATTGGAGGAGTACCCTTATATCTGTGTTACAATGTTACAGCATCGGCACTGCTTGCTCGGGAGCGCTGAAAGGCTTGTGTTTCATTCCCTTTCGCTCCCAGCACATCCCACCTGAGCATTCCATACGAATTCACATATTCCAATATCCTCCTCTTTGTTTCTCCCGCTCTGCCAATCATTTCAGAAGCGTGCGTCAGAAGGGAGAGCTTGCTCATACAGAGGACAGCCACATCAAACCACCACCGCTCATCAAAACTGCCCTCCTTTGGGGAGCTTTCATGGCAATTTCCTCAAACCCTAGGTATCAGGTCGTCACAGGTTTGGAGAGGCTGGTTGATGGCTTGGCGGTGGCTCGGAGCCTGCCATGGCTATCAGGCTCGTTTACGGTGGCGGTGAGGTTTGCTAATAACATTTATGGCAGCAGCCAGTTTGTGGACTGGGCGCGGATGGCAGGAGTGCAGTGATGCAGGGATGCAACCTCGTCACCAGGTTGCTTGGAACGGCTCTTGTATACGGTATCAGAGGACCAAGCACACTTTGTGCTGGAGAGGGAGACTTGGTGATGAGTTGGAAGGAAGTGACCCATAGGGCTGGTATCACTCTAGCATGGATGGATCAATCTCAGCATCAATTTTGTAGGATTGGTGTAAGTTGGCAGATTTTGCTATATATTTCTCTAGTCTGTATTTTGTACCCAATATGGAAGATATTGTTCCGCGATATATCAATATGTCTAAAGTATGTGGTGAATGTAATTGACAGTTCACCCATAGATTAGAATATGTAAACTCACATTAGCTAAACCATCGTTAGCACAAACTAGCCCATAACGCGATACATGATGCAGCCTCAACCGTCCTGCTCCAGATCTCAGTACGACGTGGCACTCTGTGAAAGGAACATTGTGCTTTCCCGAAACATCACTTGTCAGAACCAATTGTGGCTGTCCTTTCGCTGAAAGCAGCAGCTGTGGTTGGCTACTCCCGTGCTGTGAACCCATTCTGCGCACGTCGTGGATGTCAGGAGGATAGTAGCCACTGGGAGGGAATGACGGACCGCCCTGGTTTCGGGTTTCCGTTTCTATTCGACACTGGTTTTTATACCGCCTTACTTTGCGCTCGAGTCCGATACCTTCAGTCAGTTATTTACGCTATTGCCCCTTTTCGAGTCCAGAGACTAATATTATGTTTATTTATCGAGATATCATAAATTGAATTGTCGCGTCAATTACGAGAAGCTCGGGACAAAAAATATATACCCCTCATGGAGGGCATGCCATTTGGGAGGCATCAACCCTAAACACCATGAGGCAAGGTGTTTAGGGTTGATGCCTCCCAAATGGCCAGCCGTCCGAGAGAGGTTTAATTTTTCCACTGGCCACTAAACTAAAACCAGGTAATCTTCAGATTTTTCCTGGTCACAGGAAATTGGAAATGTCGAAATCAGCGCCCCAAGGAATCGGACGCAAGCGGAGAAGCAAGGCGGTGTCAAAGCCACTTCCCAAAGGAATCAGAAACTTGAAAACAGGGCGATCCGTCTTTTCCTCAGCCGCTGGAGTGGAAGGATGTGCGCAGCGCAAATACATATACGCAATGCGCGCGCGTCGGGGATCCCCACCAAAGAGAGAGGGGTTGGCCCCCAACCAACGCGGTTTGGGGGAAATAAGGGGAACGCGAAGCGAAGCCGATGGTTGGTGCAGATCAGTGTGGCGGAAGTGTGGGAGGATGGAGGAACGGGAGACGACAATTCGGGTTGACGAGGATGGAGGGTTCCAAAATGAGCAATTTCTCGAAATTACTGTTTTCGATACCCACGAACACATTCTAGATCTTGGGAACCCCTCCCTGTCATATGCGAAATATGGAGTAACACATTATACTCTCCGATTTACGGAGAATGGACGAGAGAAGCTAAAAGAAAACGTTCGGGTGGGATAACTAAGCATCATCACCAGTAGGATGGTGGGTGGTACGGAACAGAAGCCGCCACAACAAGCCGAGGAGAATGACAGGCACAGAACCGACAAATGTAAGCATCTCACCTGGAACAACCTCTTCACTCTCCGCCACGCATCTCACCTTGCCTTGAAAGCACCCCCTTCTGCCCCTCTTTTCTCCACCACACCACAAACAACCACCGCCATTCCACAAAATGAGAAAACAAGAAAATGAGGAGCGAGAAGGAGAGCAGAGAGGAGTTCGAGCAGCACGCATACACGCACGGACCCAATCACTGGCAGCCTGATAGGTTCTGCTCCTTTGGGCAGGTCCAGTGAAAGTAGGTGGAGAGTGTTGTCTCGTTGCGGAAGCCAGCAGGGCTATGAGCTGGATGCCATGCCAATAGTTGCCGCAACTCGAGGCGTGGACTGAAGTTCAGTTCATTATAAACAGAGTCTCCAACCTAACCACTAGGTCACTAAACCAATGCGATTTCAGCACATTTGTTAGGTCACTCTCCGCTGTAGTTTCCTTCCTTGGCTCCTCCTTAGTGTTCGCCTGTGCGTAGACAGTGAGCAATTTGCTAACTTTCTCGTGAAACCGTAGACCTAATTTGCTGTGCCGGTACAAAAGAGACTAGCCGGAGTCGCGTCGTCTGCGGTCGTGATCGAGCTGTATTTATGAAGCTACTCTTAGAGTTCACGTGCATCTAAAACTGGCTGATAGCAGACAATCCGCAAACGCTTCACTCCAAACCGGTCCCTGAGAATATCGAACTACTAGCTGTCAAGCACTTGACGATCTTGTCGTGCTTCGTTGCAGAACTGTTAGCGGGGTCACTTATTGCCCGCTTTACGATCGGCCTTCCATTTCTGTTCCCTCTTTCATTACAATAGAAGCGTACCGCGCAATGGCGCTTTCGGCCCTCCTAAGCTTTCCTAGTTCTCACAGTTACGGCTCGTAGCAGGACCGTTTTGAGTCGTCTCATCTAGTCAGCCACGGGTTGGCAAGTGTCTAGAGTCATTCCAGTAGCTTACGTCCCCTCTTTCCCACCGTCTAGTATCCGTTCCGATAATTATTTCAAGAGGCAGCTTCCCACTAACGATAGTATCAGCGCTCTGCCTAAAAAATACACTCAGATCATTGAACGTTCCATTATTAAATAGAACAGATATTTGTTGGATTGTGGTAACCAGATGGCCACCAGTCGGCAACGTGGTTACGTTCAACCATTGTCGGGCGGGGAAGAGCAAGGCGGGCCCATGTCCCCCTACGCGCAGCCCCGCCGGATGGCCCCCGGCGGAGGGGGAGGAGGAGGGGACGGTCCCCCCGCGCGCAACCCTGGCCGCGGACGCCGCGTAGCCGGCGGCGGCGGCGGCGGTGGCGCACCTCAGGCGCAATTCACGCGGATTAACTCGATGATCTACCAGCCGTCTCCACAGCAAGAAGAACAACCGGCAGAGCCCCGTTATAAGCGCACTATGTCTATGGTCGCCCCCGCGCCGAACAACAAAACCCCTCCGCGCGGAGTTAGAGCAGCAGGCGCGGGGGGGGCGCATGCCGGAGGGCCAGGCATGGGCGCGGGGAGGGGCGGGCGGGGGAAGCTTCCGCACTCCTCGTCTGTGGGCGGACCGGAAGGCGGAATGCGCAGGGGGGTGGGCGCGGTCGGCGCGGGGGTGGAAGACCCTTTGGCGGACCAATTTGGGCGGAGCATGACGGTCGGAACTAAAGCGCCCACTCCGCGCGGACCTGGTGCGGGGAGAGGCGCTGGCGGAGGCGGGCAGTTTGGCGGCGGAGAGCCGGAGATCGGACGGTCGTTAACGGCCACTGACGGCCGGCACCGGTCGCCGTTAAGACAGAACCCACACGCGACGGGGGGAATGGGCGTTGGAGGGATGATCACCCCGCGGAGGACCCAGGCGCAGCAGATGGTGGCGGGCGGAGGGCGCGGCGGAATGGGCGGAATGGGGGGGATGGGGGCGGGTCCGGGCAGTCCGTACCGCCAACGCGCGGGGAGCGGGTTTTCGCAAGGCGGGTACATGGAGGGCGGCGGAGAGTACAACGACGAAAGCGACGGGATGTACGGCGAAGACGGTTACCACCAGAACATGCAACGGTCGCGATCCACCGGCATGGGGATGATGGGTGCAGGCGGGCGCATGGCGGGCGGGGGAATGGCCATGGGGGGGATGGGCGGCGGAATGCCCCCGCATGCGCCTGGGGGGAGGGGAATGGGCGGAAGCGGGCGCATGAGCATGGGGGAAGAGCACTACTACACGTCGGACGCGTCGGAAGGGGGGGCCGGCGGGGGAGCGTATCCGCGCAGCCGGTCGGTGAATCCGCGCTTAGAAGGCGCGGGGGACGCGGGGGGGATGGCGCCGCAGGGGAAGGCGGGAAAGGCGGAGGTGGACCCGTCGGAACTGCCCATGCTGCCCCCTCCCGGCAGTCCGCAAGTTGTGCAGGTAAGAGCTCTCGCGCACTTACTCTTCCCTTGTCATTACCTATAGAAGCGACCCTTCCTCGTCTCTTTCCTCCCGGCAGCCTGCAAGTCGTCCAGGTAAGAGCTCTTGCTTCTATCCTCTCATACCCTCTCCTTTCCTCTCTACTGTCCTTTCCACTGTTTTATCGTATTCCCCCGACTGTCCTCTGTCCTCTTTTCGGTAGTTGTCGTTCTGATCGCCTGCTTCTCGTTCTCGCGCTTTATGACCTTCAATCTCGATCTGACTTTATCAGTTAATTGACTTTTGAGTCGACTCTTGAGTCGAGTTGACTTTTGAGTCGACTCAAAAGTCAACTCGCTTTATGACCTTCAATCTCGATCTGACTTTATCAGTTAAGGGTTCGGTACCCCTGGTTCGTTGCCCAAAACGCCGCAGGGGAGCGCTTTCGCACGAACGACTAAGAAAAAAATTAGCGGGCAATTCGTTGTCCTTCGGGAATAAAAAAAGCGTGTTAGCAGAACGGATGCATGATAATCGCATCGTACCAACAGCCCAAGGCAACAAACAAAATGTAATGCGGCGGAAAAAGGTTGCTGCGAAACAAATACTTTCGGGAAGCTACAACGAACTGCTGTTGCGAACGAAGCTGCTTTCGCGAAGCAAGCTGAAGATTCGCAGACGGAAAGAAGAACCCTGGCTGGTTGCAGACCGTTGCGAGTTTCGTGAGGTCGGGCCTTTCCACTTCGCACAACCTCATCAGTCACAGCCTCGTTCCACGCACCGTTTTCCGTCGCCCTCGTTGACACCCCAAAGCGAACGTTGCTTGCTCGCCCTTGCGCCGCGAGTTGCTCATACAAAATTATTCGACTCTGCCGATTCAGCCCCTCCTCTTCCGCCCCCAACACACCCACCCATCCACGCTGCTCTTACGTTCTGAAAACCCCAGCGGCCCTTCCTCGGCGCTAAAAGGGCATTCAGAATCTGTTCTGCGGCAAGTGCATGCACGTCTCACTCCCTCTCTCCCTCCCCAATCCCCCACCACTCTCCTCACCCCCCTTCCACCTCTCTCCTTCGCTTCTCCTCTCCTCTTCTCCTCTTCTCCCGTCCTCTTCTCCCCTCTCTCCTCCCCTCCCCTCTCCTCCCCTCTCTCACCCCCCACCAGTGTCAGCGGTGCTCTCAACTATTGGAGGTCCCAGCAGCGCTCCCGCCGGCCAAGAAGGGCATTCAGAAGCTCCGCTGCGGCAAATGCATGCGCGTCTCACGCTTCCGAGTCAACCCAGCAGACCCCCGCACTGCTGCCGCTGCTGCTGCGGCCGGCGGGGTTAGCGGCGGGGAGGGGTTTTCAGATAACCCTGACGTGGCGGATAGCGGGAATGAGTATCAGCAGAATGATTATATGCAGCAGCAGCAGCAGCCTCCCAGGTCCCCTAGGCTGCTGCAAGGGTTGCCTAGCGGGGGAGGGTTTGGGAGAGGCATGGGGGGAGGGGGAGGCGGAGGGGGAGCGCCCCCGCTTTCTCCTCGCATGCAGCGTCCCGGTGGGGGGTTTGGCGGTCAGCAGATGCACAATCCAGGTCAGCACGGGCGCACGCCGTCCAACGCGGATTCGGAGAGCACTGTTGTGATTCGCCAGGAGTCGGCCGGGCGGCACGCGGCCGGCAGTTTCTACCACCACATGCGGCCAGAATCAGAATCGGATCTTAGCTCCCCTGTGAGCGGAGCAGAGGGGTATGGGGGCGGAAGGGGAGGCGGAAGAGGGGGAGGCGGAGGGAGAGGGGGAGGGGTGAGCGGGCCAAGAAGGATGATCTATCAGCGACAGAGCAGCTTTGAATCCGGAGATATGTCTTCCAGTGGAGGCATGCCGAGTCCTTCCCCCCGAGGTCCAAGGGAGGGGGGTGGCATGGGGGGAGGAGGGGGAAGTGGGGGGGAGGAGCGGGCGACGTATGCGCGGAGAGTGATTGTGAATGGGGAGCCAATTCGGGATGATTATGTTTCTGTGGTGGAGCAACGAGCAGGGAACATTCACCCTGGCAATTACTGGTGAGTGCTGGAATTAAGAAAATCAGTTCTTTTCTTGCATGCTTTTAAATCTCGCCTTTTCTCCCCTCCCCGTCCCGCCCTCCCGCCGTCCCGCCCCTCCCATTCCCCCTCCGCCAACTCCCCCCTTTCCTCCTTTTTTCGTTCTCCACTTTATCTTATTATGAAGCATAATTGCTTGCCTCTGCATGTCTGTGTTATGTCTTCCTTCCGTTTTGCTTTACATCCTCCAAGGAAAGTGACATAAGTCTGCTTTGATTCTTCTTCTCCTGGGCGTGGGAATGATGCTGCTGCAGGTACGACCAGGTTGCAGGGTTCTGGGGCGAGATGGGCGGCCCATGCCTCGGCATCATCCCAGTGAGTGCCAGGAGTGCTGCTCATGCAGATCCCATGCATGCTGCTCCCCATGCATACCCCATGCATTCTCCATGCATACACCATGCATAACCCATGCATCCTCCACATACATACCCCATGCGTGCTCCTCATGTATACCCCATGCATGCCCCACGCATGCTATTAATGAACCGCCCCCCCATGCTACCCATGCATACCCCACCCATGCTACCCATGCACGCCCCATGGACCTCCCATCTCACCAGAACAATGTTCCAGCCGTTCCTGCTTGCCTCTTCCTCCCAAGTCTGAACCACCAATGCATTGCTGCCAAGTCCACACCCTTTCCACACAGAGCTTCTTTGATCCACTTTCTTGTCTGCACCCCCTTCTTGTCAAACCCTCTCCTTGGCCTCTTACAACCTCATCTTCCTGGAACCTTCTGCCTTGCCTTTCCTGCAGCCGGGGATTGAGTTCGGGACGCCGATTCCCGTGGACTGTGCGGGAGGCGCGACGCGGGTGTATGTGAACGGGAGGGAGCTCCACAAGAAGGACCTGGACCGGCTCATGAAGAGAGGGCTGCCCTCCAAGCCCAACATGTCGTACCGAGTGGAGATCAATGGGAGCGTGTATGATGAGGAGACGGGCGACTACCTCCTCAGCCTGGGGAAGCTCGCACCCTCGTGAGTACCTTTTTTTGTCTGTTTGTTTTTCCTTGATTTACACATGGGTGGTTGTAGAATCTTGGGTAGAGATGGGAGAGAGAGTGGGGGCTTCCCAGGAGCATGTGGGGTGGAAAAGGGGCAGTGAGGTGGTGCTGAATGGGTGTGTCACAAGATAGAGTGGGTGATGGATAAGAGCCATTAAAACTTGTGTAATGTTATGTCATTTTGGCGCCATGTTATGTGTTTCGTGTCTCAGGCTGGAAACAAGGAAGCGGGGTGGCGGCATGAAGGTCCCTGAATCTAACTGACGAGCTAGTTAGTCTCTGAAGGTTCATGACGAAAGCCTCGGTGCCAAAACACTCGGTGACAAAGCGGAGTGGTGGCATGAAGCTCTATAAATTGTTAATGATTCCGTAGGTCACTATGGTGGCATGGCATAGTGTGACACTGCCCTCTTCTGTCAGCCAATAGGGTCTCAGGTTCATCTCCAGGGTCTGTGTCACTCTCCTGAAGGCTGTATGGATGGTTTCACGTCTTGTTCCCTAACCCTCTGCATGTTACAAAGTGATTCATAATGTACACAGGAGTGTAAGCAAAATCTTGGACACTTCTTGCAGACTCTGTCTGAAATGGCACAGCCTTCGCCAAAGAGATGCATCTCTTGCAATCTTTTCCCGTTTACAGCGGCATGCCATATTCGTTTCAGTGAAGTCACGTGTTGGCGAAACCAGCCTTGAAGAGCAGGATCGCATGGCCCTTGAGAAAGAAGTATATGAAATGCTTTTCCTCATGCGTCACGTACGACCCTGCAGTGACAACAATGGAGTCTTTATGGCCGTGTTCCACATCCGCGGTCCGAAGACACATCCGAGAGACTCTTAAAATTCCTCACCGAAGTTCTTCCCAACTATGCAGTGCCACACGGGCGAGTGCTTATCATCGAACGCCGTCTTTATGTGGAGAGCAATGTCTTGCAAAGCTGTTTTTGACTCCATTGCCTGGATATGATGCACAGGATGTTAGTGAAGGGTGCAAAACGAATCGAAAGCTCGAACTGCACACAAGGCTAACCTCGGTCGCTACTGTAATGGCGTCTTTCTGCATCTCCTCAGACATGTCAGCTTTCTTGATCTGTGTTTCTAGTCATGGCGAGGACCATAAATCAAACGGAGGAGAGGTCAGGTTGGCTGAAGCCAAACGGATCAGGCTGAATGGACCGTTCCTTCGTAAAAGTGAAATGAAGGAAGAAATTTGAGCAACTTCGTGGTTGAAATGAAGTCTAGGCTACTTTGTAGTCTAGATTTCCAGGAACCTAGATTTCAGTAAGGAGATGCATGCTCGCAATACCTCGCGTCGCAGGGAGCCCCTGGGATTGGCGAACACTACCTTGGGAGCAAGTTCGCTAAGGATGGGTCAGAAAAAAAAACCCAACGCTCAGGTGGCATGAAAGTCAGTACGCGAAAACATTGGGGTTTCCCTCCTGGTTTCGAAAAAATTGTGGCGACAGCAAAAAGTTCAGCTGTGACTCTTCGCACTAGGGTTGTCGGAGCTCCTCGGGCGTTGTATTACCGCTAGACACGGCTGGGCTAGCTTCTGCACCTACCGTGAAGGCCGATGCGCTGGCAATTTTAGGACATTCTAGATGGCTCGCAAGAGCTTGCGTCAACGAATCAAAATCGCTGTCAAGAACGTGGAACTTATGGAACTACCACGAGAGATGATAACCAGAAATGGTGAGCTACGGATCGACGGAAAAGGGAAATGCGCTGATATCAGCTCAGCAGAGAATAAGTCTGTTCCTAGCACTGTCTTCAGATGACATCTGCACGCTTTCAGCTGTCCGTTCTCCGCTGCAGGGATGGCTTTCCAGCTGGAGAAAAAGCCGACCAGAGCTTTGAGTCATGACGAGGAGATTTGGGTGAAAGATTTGCTCAAGGTACGACCGTCGCATCTAGCTTCCCCCGTTCTTGCTTGACTTGCGAATTGCTATTTCAGGCGCAAAGAGTCGCAAAGCTGAGGGAGGTTCTTACGACATTTGCCATACATTTTATGATGCCTCTTCCAATAATCGTCACAGAGAAACATGGAGCAGCACTTTGCACCGTCCACCTGGCCCCAAGTGCTTTCTGGCAAGCTGACAGAAGCAGTGGAGCCTGACGCCGTTTATCTCTTTCTCAAGCAGCCGAAGGCCAACAAAGCAACAACAGGTGTGCAAATTGTAGCTGCAGAGAGCATGGTTCAATGCATGCTTGAGGCCAGAAGCACAGAGGCTTCAGGGAGCATGACTCCTGCTAACCCTTCACAGTTTCAAGGTTGCCAGTCTTCCAGACTTCAGATGCAGGAGGACAGATGTTTTCAACAACACGTTCAGCACCAAAAACCGCCCAACCCAAGACCAGCACGCAGTGTCAAAAGCCAACGGCAGAACGATAATTCCTTGTATCAAGCGATGAATGGGGGATGCATGGGAATTGACGGCACCGCGGAATGCAAGCATGTGGGCTTTATGCACTTCCGCATTGTTGAGGAGAATGAGATGGCCTCTCTGTACATGTATGAGTTACAAGTGGAGGCTGAATATCAAGGGATGGGAATTGGCAGCAAGCTAATGAGGATTGCTGAACTCATGGCAAAGAAGGTATGACAGTTGAACCAATTTCAGATATGTGACTTTCGGGTTCCATATTTTTGCTCTCAGCTATCAATGTTGTGGCATTGACAAGTGTTTCAATGTTACTTTATCTTATGTCTTGTTCTTCTCCAAGCTTCTCCATTTCTCACCTTCGGTGTTCTTTTCACCGTCTTGTATCCATTTTGCCCTTGCTTTTTTTTATTTTATCAGTGTGAGCTCGAAGCCATCTTTCTTACAGTCCAGAAGGAAAATAAATCTGCCAGAGCACTCTACATGGAGAAGCTAGGGTGAGAAACATCAGAATCAGGCTGCATCCTAAGGGGCTACTGCAAGGTTTTTGCTCACTGATAGAATGTTGCGCAGTCCATGATCACCCTGACTCCTGCCATGTCCCTGCTTTGTTTTTGGTCGTTCGTCATCATACCACCTCACTGCTGCTGATGCACATGCACTTCTAATGTTGGCTTTCCAGGTCTCCCATAAGTCTTATATATTCAACCGATTCAATGTCTTTGTCCCCTCTTTGCAGGTTTCAAACTGCAGATCACTCACCTGCTAAGGTACAGCATTGCCAATTTGCCACCCTTTCTCACTCGCATACCTCACCCAGCAAAAAAACATGGCTGCTGCTTACTGCTGCTGATCTTGCTATGTGCAGGTAGAGCAGCGTGACTACGAAATATTAACAAAAACATTCTAATTTGCTGATGTATTGTGCCTGTGATACTGTATTGAAGATTGTTACCCCATCTCAATTGAAGCAACATAGGCTTCTATGCAGTCTTTTTTAAAGGAGTTACGGAACGGCTAGAACAAACGTTCTCAGACGTAAGACACTAACATTCATTCCCAACACCGTTTATGGAGGATAGGTTGGTGAATTCTCGTTCTGGTGCCGGCTAACCACTGACCACCTACCACTTATCACGATTTGCAACGCGACCTCCTCATATTCCTGTTCTCCTCAGCGCGTCTTGAATTGAGCGATATCCTCCCATATCCATTCAGAATTAGATCAATGCTGAGCTGACTCGTGTGCCATTCTCTGCTCGTCATGCCCTGCCATTACACACTTTCTTGTCCTGATCAGTGACCGCCGCTGACTACTAATCGTTTTCTTTAGACCGCTATTCTCGCTTCGTTGATTTCTTCATTCGTGCTGGTAGGCGGTTCTTGGGTTCGATGCACTGGCCTGTGCTTGTCGCCCGCGATTGATACATGCGATTGCGATTGCGTCGCTCGATCGTCGATCGCCTTGCGGTTGACGGCTCGTGACAGCTCGTCGTCGCATTCGGTCTCACACAGCCTGCGATTCCAATCTCCCTCCACACGGATTGTAACTTTCCAACTGAGGGATTCGCAACCAATAAAACCGTGCCAGCGAATTGATAGTAGTCGCGTCGCGATGGCCCTTCACCCGTACTGCCATTCCATCTTTTCCTGACTAAGTCGTCGATCTTCGTTCAGCCGTAAAGTTATGACAGGATCACTAGGTCGGATAGCGTCCGCTAGTACTAACGCAACCGGCGGAGGCGATAGAATCTTCAAGGAGTCGGGCAGCGGCGACCGAACTGAGCGTGATTCGACCGTTGACACCCCAAGCAAATCCGTTCGGCGACGACCATGGCTGGACAGACCTCGCAAACTGGCTACGTCACGTGTTTCCAGGCTGCTTCTCTTTCTAAGCCTTCTCATTGTCTTAATCTTGGGTTACTCGTTTCAATCCAGCGTGCTTCGATTTTCTGCTGTGACTACAACGAGCGCCACATTCGCAACGCGGGATTTAAGCGGCGACACCAATGGGACTTGGAGACTATTACCCGAGAAGATCCACGTTGTATCGCGGATTGAAGACGATAGTCTAAAAGACGTTCGCTTGAACATTACATTCAATTGCGTGGATATTCTCCAAGCAGCCGCTAACCTCCCTGGTGCCAGGAGGACTGAATCTAATCCGTCGCGCTTAGCTAAGTGCAAAGCCAGTTTATGCTCGGCGATGCAGCAACTCGCGATCCAAGCTTCAAAGCGAGCGGCTATAGAGATCGGTCCATTAACCCCTGCTGGCGAGATCCAGAACGAAGACCGGAGTTTCTCTCCAGCGTTAGTCAACCAGATCGATCCATTAACCCCTCCTGACGTGGCGAACGTTCAAAATGAGTACTTAGGAATCGTGTGCAGCAAAGAATGGAAGCACAATCTCCTGAGTCGCTTCCCTGACAACCATTTCTTCAAGCGAGGCGTTAAAGCCCAGAAGATATTGGTGTCCAACGTTTCTGCTCAGATCGATTCCCTTTGCGGGAAAGTGCAAGAGATAGAGAGGAACTATACGAAAAAAAACTTACAGGACCCCACAGAACGAGACGAGGGTAGTATCGACATCACCACCAGCAGCAACAGCAGCAGCAGCAGCAGCAGCAATCCAAGTGATCAGGACAGTCCGTGCAACCACTGGCCTGAGTCGTGCTGGCCTGTGCCTGGCATGCCGTTTTCCAAACTCACGGTAAGCACATGAGCTGCACCTGCTGGTCTTGGGTGCATTTCCGGGTCATGTGTTAGCTATTCTAATTGGGTAAGCATATGAGCTGCACCTACTGGTGTTGGGTGCATTTCCGGGTCATGTGTTAGCTATTCTAATTGGGTAAGCATATGAGCTGCACCTACTGGTGTTGGGTGCATTTCCGGGTCATGTGTTAGCTGTTCTATTTGATTCCAATTTCTGTTACGTTATTGCTGTGTGAAAAGGACTCTAGGACATCAGAATATTGTGCACCTCTCTTGTCCCTCGTGTGTGTGTGTGTGTGTGTGTGCGTGCACGCACGCGTGTGTGTTATTGTTTGTCAAAATCCTCCTTATTATTGTTGTTTCGATGCAGGACTTCGCCAATCGCAAGTATCTGGTGTTTGCAGCGGTGGAGGAGCAGCTCACCAACGCCAAGATTCATGTCATTGAGGCGGCACGGGTCGCCAGAGAGACCAACCGCATCCTCGTCCTCCCCAAGGTAAATTTGTGATTTGAACTCCTTTTTTTTTTGCACACTCCCGAGTTTTCACGCCATTCAGCCCATTCCATGATTTGACATGTTTATCAAAGTAGAAGAAAAAACCTCTCAATGTTCCAAGTTTGATTGATCTGAACCAAGTTCAATGCTTGCTGAGCTACCACATGAACCACCTGCATGCACACAATGCTTTTGCACCAGGACATTATTAAAAAAGACCTGGTCATCCAGATTTGGAAATTCAATGTTTGTTCCTTGACCTTCCCCCCCCCCCCCCCCCCCCCCCCCCCCCCCCCCCCCCCTCTTTTTGATTGGTTTGTTTGTCTGTTTTGTGTGTGTTTTTGTATTATGGTGCCTGTGCTTCCCAGGGCGGGCACAGCCATCTGTCGCTGGGTCGATCCATGCCCATGTGTGCCTATTGCGACTTGGCTCACCTCAACGACACTGAATGGGTCTCCCCCGAGTTCTTCATTC